ACAAAAAAAAAAAAAAAAAAAAAAAAAAAAAACACACAAAGGTCACGCCATCTTCCACAACGCCCACTCCGGTCAGACCAGAAACATGACTGCACAACACATGCTGTATTATCTGCCAGAGAATAACACGGTTTTATAAAAGCTGGAAAATGTCAGACCGCAACAAATATGAGCATAAGTTTTTTTTTAAGTCCGTATGTAAAAGATCAGGTGATACAAACTTCATGGATATCTCAGAATATAAGCTGTGACAAGATAGATAAAGTTGTCTTTTAGATTTATCCAGCCACATGGCGTTTTGTTACACTTTAACGAGTCACTCTTGCAGCCAGACGTACTAAAACTACTGTACGGCAAAAAGTACCAGAGCACAATTACTGCAACACTTAAAGTGATTCGTGGGTTCATTTTAAAATGTTTCCTCTACAAAAAGGTACACAAAAAGGTGCACCATGTTTGCAATCTCAGCCACAAATGTATTTATATAAAACAGGTGACTTAGATGTTAAAAAGACAAATACAGTTCATTTTAAATTTGATTAAAATAGATTAAAGCCTTTTAAAAACATCTCTACTCCCAAAAGCCATAAACCTTACACCCCATTCATTTTCTCAATGATGTTTTTTACTTTGGTTATTTGTTAGCATAAATAGCAGCAGCGGCTAGATGTAGCAGTTGTAATGTAGCCTGGGTAGAGCTGCCAGATAGGAAATATCAAATTTATTATTGACACAAACTAAGGTGAGGTGAGGGTGTGCTTTTCTGACAAGACGAGGTGTGATTAGCGAACACGCTCACTACAAGGGTACAGGTCACACGCTTGGCGATTGCGTTGTTTACGCGTAAATTACGCGTCAAATGGACGCGTAATGATCACGTGGTTGTGTCAGCGGGGGCTTTCATAGCCGAGAGCACGGTCTGGCAATAGTCAGATCAGATGTTATGCGATTGTTCACGTGAATAAAAAAAAACTTTATTTTGGTTATGATTATGCCAAAACTATGGTATGCATGTTTCACATAGACCAGTGGTTCCCACTGTCTTGCATGTTTTAGTTGTTTCCTTGCCCTTCAGCAA